CCACCCTCACCCCCACCCCCACTGAGATCCTCCCTGCGGCTCCCTGTGGCCAGCAGCTCTGCAGCACTCGGCTCGGCTCCACTCCGCTCAGCTCCGCTCCAGGCAGGCCACCTCCTCCCTGCCCTCTTCCTCCCCCTGCTCCTGCTGTCACCACTCACCGCTCACAGCCTCGAGGAGGTGGGGACCCCAGGGCTGGACACACCCCACCGTGGCCCCGGAGCCCACCTGGTCGGACGGACAAACGCTTGGACGCAGGACCCCGGAGCCCCGAGGTGGGCAGTGTGCCAGGGTCCCTCACAGCCTCCTCAAGGTCAGTGCCAGCCGGGGATGCAGCTACTCTGGGATCCTTGAGACCTTCAGAGCCCTCCCCAGGCTCCTCATCTTACACCTCAGGTCCCAGAGTGGGCTCCTGCCCCAGGTGTACTTGAAGCCGGCAGGACCAGGGGACAGGGGGAACTCCTGTGTCCACAAGCTGGCCCAGGTCTGGGGGTCAGTTGGGAGAGGTCCCAGGCCGGGGGCCAGCCCTGGCCCCGCTCACAGAGGCTCACTGGGGACACCCGCACCGGCCATGGGGAGCTAAAATTGGAAAGTGGCGAGTGGGAGGCAGCTGACAAAGCTATTTCGCGGGCTCTTCGCCCTGCTCCGGTTTCAAGCTCCTGCTCCATTAACCTGATCCTCGGGGCCTCCCTACCCCCGCCGGCCGATGAGGAGGCGGCTCAGCCCTCAAGCCGGCCGGCCACGCAGAAGTCAGGCGCAGCCACCCCCTGGTTTGGGAAGGGGCAGCAATGGTCCTTTTATCTGTGACCCCAGAGGGGCTCACTGAGAACCCCTGATCCTGTCCATTTTGCTGTCTGACCTTGACAGGTCCCTGCGCCTCTGTTCCATGGCCCCTCCATCTGTAATAGGGAGAATGCTGACGCTGGGGGCCTAGGAGAGCTGTTATCAGACTTGGTGAGGGAGACTTGGGAGGGGACCTGGGTTGGGAGAGGGCCAGGCCTGCTACCTCTTGGCTCAGCCCAGCTCAAGAGGGTGCCCATACATGTCCCCCTCCTCCCCCTTTTAATTTGGGCCCTGAGTCTGTTACCCATGGGGCCCTTGGGAAGGTCCGGGGCCAGGCTGGAGCCAGATAGGGAAGGAATAGGTGCTAGCTGAGGTCCCAGGGATGGCCCAGCAGAGCTCCTGGGGACAAACCAGGCTCTGGTAGACGGGAGTGGCTAGGCTCGCCCTGAGCCTGATACGGTCAGCACCTTGGACAGCGGCCAGTGCCCTCCCTGGTGCCCGCCTGGCCCCACTCCCGCTACCCCAGGGCAACTCTTCAAATAGCACAGCCTCCAGCCAGCATCCAGGGCCTGAATACACAGAACACTGAGAGACACGGCAGGGACCAGGGACACAGGCAGGGACCAGGGACATGGCAGGGACCAGGGACATGGCAGGCTGGGGCTCAAGGGCTGATTGGGGGTGTGGGGGGTCAGCGAGAGGCTGGAGGCTTGGTGCTGGGGCTGGACCTGGGGAGGTCAGGGAAAGTAAAGGCGGCTCAGGAGGGTGTGGAAGTCAGAGAAGGGGCAGGAGGGGTGGGGCTTTGTCAGGACTGAGGGAGGCTTACTGAAGGGAGTGGGGACCCTGAGGGCCAGAAACAGGATTGAGGTGATGCAGAGGGGGCTGCTCCACTTGAGGGGCACCTGAGGCCTGGGCAGGAGCAGGATGAGCAGAGGGTGGGGACCAGCCCACCGCCAGGTATGGGAGTAAGTGAAGGTGAGGAAGCAGGCTGAGGGTGGAGAATATGCTTTCAAGAGTTTCAATGGGAAAGACAGGAGTTTGGATGGGGGGAGGCCTGGGAGGAGTTGGGGATGGGGGAGGGGAGAATGATGGGGGGAGACAAGAGGGGCAGTCTCAAGAGTGGGGTCCTCACCACCTCAGTAGGGGAACATAAGGTGGGCGAGGCAGGACTGGGGGTCAGCGGTGCCCTCACCCAATCTGTCTCCCCAGCCACCTCCAGGCTATGGGCACCAAGACAGCGTTGCCGGCGGCGGAGCTGGGCCTGTACTCCCTGGTGCTGAGTGGGGCCCTGGCCTACGCTGGCCGGGGCCTCCTCGAGGCTTCACAAGGTAACCGCTGGGCCCCTGGGCAGGGGGGTGGGACCCTTCTCTCTCTGGGGGCCTCCGCGTTCCAACCAGCAAGGCCAGAAACTCAGAGGCTCCAGACCCAGGGTAGTCTCTGGGCCCTGGGACGGGGCTGAGCCAGGTACAGTGACGGGGAGACACAGACGCAGGAGCACGGACAGAGACCTGGACACAGAGCCACGGAGAGAGAGACACTCAGACCCTAAGGAAGACCTGGTCCCAGACATACAGTGAGACCCCGAGAGAAACAGGCAGAGAGAGAGACAGGCTTTCTAAGGTGGGGGCCAGCCTCGCGTAGGGCAGGCATGGGAGAGGCGGGGCGGTCCGCCCCCTGAGGCCACGCTCTGTTCTCAGATGGGGCCCAGAGGAAGGCCTTCCGGGAGTCTGTGCGACCCGGCTGGGAGTACATTGGTCGGAAGATGGTAGGTCCTTCACACCCCAGGTCCCTGGCTGGGGTCCCTGGCCCCTGGCACATCTCTCTGGCCCCAAACCTGTTCGGATGCTCCCCTTGTCCAGATGTTCAGGGGGCTCACAATGGGGAGGGTCTCCAGCACCTTCCCTTTCTCCACTGGCCCCTCCTGCCCAGACCCCGCTCATTCAGGGAGTAAATCGAGACGTGCCCAGCAGGGGCCTCCAGCACCATCCTTCCCAGGAACAAGGCAATCATGGCTTCACGTCAGGCAACGGGCCGGGGAGAGGGTGAGCTCTGAGGGGCAGAGCAGCCCACACGGTACTCCTCACGCCTCTCTGTCTCCCTGCCTGGTGCTTCCCTCAGAGGGGAAGGCAGGGCCTCCAGCCATGGCTCTGCTCTCATGTGTCAGAAGAACCCGGGGGCTGGGACGTGCTGGGACTCTGAGCAGCCCGAGTGCCAGCCCCTCCTGCCCCCGCCCCACCTTAACCTGCCCGGGCCCACCCAGGACGTGGCTGACTTCGAGTGGGTGATGTGGTTCGGCTCCTTCCGCAACGTCATCCTCTTCACCCTCTCCGGACACGTGCTGTTTGCGAAACTCTGCACCATGGTGGCTCCGCAGGTGAGCAGGGCCGGAGCCACCCAGCCTCCCCCACCAGCTCCTCCGAAGCTCCAGGGGGTGTGGGGAACCCACGCCGGGGTCCCACCTGCATGTGTCTGGACAGGTAAACGCAGCCTCCCCCCTGCCCACAGCTCCGCGCCTGGATGTACGCTGTGTACGGGGCCCTGGCCGTGGTGGGCACGATGGGCCCCTGGTACCTGCTGCTGCTGCTGGGCCACTGTGTCGGCCACTATGTGGCCTCGCTCCTGGGTCAGCCCTGGCTCTGTCTTGGCCTCGGCATGGCCAGCCTGGCCTCCTTCAAGCTGGACCCCCTCATCTCCTGGCAGGTGTGCGACAGGGCGGGGCAGGGGTGGAGGGTGCAGGGATAGGACCTCAAACCCCTCTCACCCCATCCAAAGCCCTTCCCCCCAACCTCCCCACTCTCCCGGCGGTCTCCCAGCCTTTTCCCAGGGAGGACGCCTGGCCTACAAGGTGGTCCCCTCCACCAAAGCAGGGACGCGTCCAGCTCATCCTCTGCCCCGCCCCAGCCCTTACCATGAATGGGCCCTGAATGGCCAACGTTGACTGGGTCTGGAGAGAGGAAGGGACAGGACCAGGCTGGGCCCCTGGGGAAGCTGGGCGGGCTTCCCAGAGACAAGGGGCACCTGGTGAGCTGGCGGCCTGCTCTCTCCCATCCAGAACGGGTTTGTAACAGGCACTTTTGATCTTCAAGAGGTGCTGTTCCAGGGGGGCAGCGGCTTCACGGCGCTGCGCTGCACCAGCTTTGCGCTAGAGAGCTGTGCCCACCCTGATCGCCGCTACTCCCTGGCTGACCTGCTCAAGTACAACTTCTACCTGCCGTTCTTCTTCTTCGGGCCCATCATGACCTTTGATCGCTTCCATGCCCAGGTGAGGGGCGCCCTGTACTCTCAGAGCTGAGCTGACTGATCCTCTTCAGCCAGGGGCTCCCGTCTCTGATAGGACTCCCGGGGCGGGCTGTGCCCCCTCCTCAGGCATGACGGCCTTCCTCAGACCCCAGGACTGGGCCACACCCCCCCCTCCCCCGCAAGGATCACAAGATGGAGATGTGGCTCCTCCCAGACAGGACTCTCCTCCTATTCAAATGGGGTTCCCAAGCCAGGACTGGGGCTCCCCTAGCCGGCTGTGCCCCCTCCTCGGGTGTTCCCACCCTCAGGCCAGGCTGCCAGGATGGAGGCAAGTCTCCCTCACCCTCAGATCCCCAGGAAGTCAGTGACTCCCATTCACATCCTGGACATGCCCCAGGTGAGCCAGGTGGAGCCGGTGAGGCGCGAGGGTGAGCTGTGGCACATCCGGGCCCAGGCGGGCCTCAGCGTGGCGGCCATCATAGCCGTGGACATCTTCTTTCACTTCTTCTACATCCTCACCATCCCCAGTGACCTCAAGTTCGCCAGCCGCCTGCCGGACAGCGCCCTCGGTGGGTGCGCGGGGGACCCACAACAGGGGTGGGGTCTGGGCCGCCACCCCCCAGAAAGATAGACCTGTATTCCTATGGTGTCACCGCTGGGGAAGCTGACACCCTAAGGGCACAGCACCTATCTGAGGGTGTGGGAGCGGGAACTTATTTCTTGACATGTGTGGGACTTGTTCTCTTTGTCCTGTGAAGCCAGACTGGTATGGGACAGAGCCCTTTCCACCTCACTGGGGCCTTGGGCTGATTTCCACAATGGGATGGGGTCTCCCTGGGGTGGCCAGGATCCAGGAGGTGGGGATTGGGGTGCCCTTGGAGCGATCTGGGCAGCAGGACCTTCCCCCGAACCTGGAGATTGTCAGAAGCGGAAGGCCAGACTCAGTGATTCCCCCTAGATTTGGGTGTCTGGGCGGGGGTGGGGGGATGGGGAGACAGGTGCGACACCCGCCAGGCCGTGACAACATGCTGTCCCCAGCTGCCCTAGCCTACTCAAACCTGGTGTATGACTGGGTGAAGGCCGCTGTCCTGTTCGGCGTAGTCAACACGGTGGCGCGTCTCGACCACTTGGACCCGCCCCAGCCTCCCAAGTGCATCACAGCGCTCTACATCTTTGCGGAAACGTGAGTGTGGGCAGCGGGCATCTGGGGGCACACCCTTGGGTTTCCCTCCTTCCCTGAGCCTCTTCCCCTACGTGATTCACACCCAACTGCCCTCTTCCCACAGGCACTTTGACCGTGGCATCAATGACTGGCTTTGCAAGT